TGAATAAGATTTTAAAATTCATGCACGTCAGTGTCCATTGCACGTATTGGGCAAACGGCCTGCCCAATGCACGCAATGGGCAGATGCACAGATTGGGTGTAAAATATACACCATGCAATGTTTGTAAGAAATGCTGTATCTTCAATGTGATGTGAGAATACAATGTCTGTAATCTATCCTATGTTGTATACAGCTGAATACGTACACTTACCCGTGCTCTTGGCTTCAAACAAAGCGTAGACTTCTACACCCTTCACCTTCCACATTGAGCTGACACGCCCTGACTCTCGTGACAGAGGGCTTGCATCGCTTATAACCAGTAGAACGACAATGCACACGTAATCAACAATCAAATTGTGAATCATATACCTGCAATAGTAGGGAAATAAGACTTGAAGCTAGATATACAAATAGGAGGGGGAAATACGGGAAGGCAGAGGTGAGAACATGGGATGAAAACAAGTGATAAGAAAGGGAGAAACAAAAGCGGAAGCAAGAGGTGGGGAGGAGTAGAACAAAACGTGGTGAAACAACGAGTGGAAGGAGGAAATGAAACGGGACATGACTAGGGAGACGACGAGGGCGTGTCTGTGCGGGCAGCATTCAGTCCCAGAGACACATTAAAAAATATAATCCAAATGGAGCCCTCAACAATTCAAGGCAATCTACTAGACTTGCCACATCATACTAGACTCGGGGTGGATTCACTTTTTTAAATTATTCTCTTGGTCTGGGAGACACGATGGGGCTGTTGCACGCAGATGTTGAAAGCTGTTCACTGATGTGTCGCGTTCCATGTATATATAGCAGCTTCATTTGTGGTCATACATTTTTCGTCAGAGCACATAAGTTGCACCTGCAAGGTCATCGGGTGAGGACCCCGCGACGTGTGAGCTATGTGAATATGTCTTGTGGTAACATCTGCCATGTTGTGGTTATAGTTTAGCCGAATTACAGGCTGTTTAGTAGGTGATCACGTACATCTAAATTCATAAATGTGCATTCATGAATGTATTACAAGACACGTGCCCTGAAATTATATACTCCAGCATCTGTGCATGACAATTATGCCGTGATAAACATGCATTCTGTACACGCGTAGCTTTTAATAACTTTTAGGAAAAGCTTTTTTTTAAATCCGAGATATATTCTTCAGATGTTTATACCTAAAGACAGGAAAATTACAGTCATTGTTTGGTGTTTCAAGGCTGAGTGGTCCATGAGTTCATTCTTCACTTCAATTGCATACACATGTGGCATTATGTACCCACACACAAGTGATGTAACAGTGGCAGTAGAGGTGACATTAACAATGCAACAACACTATGTAGACAGGCAAATGTTACTTGAGGACACATCGGAATCAGTAGAGTGAGTGAGTGAGTGAATATGGTTTTACGCCGCTTTTAGCAATATTCCAGCAATATCACGGCGGGGGATACCAGAAATTGGGCTTCACATATTGTACCCATGTCGGGAATCGAACCTGGGTCTTCGGCGTGACGAGCGAACGCTTTAACCACTAGGCTATCCGACCGCCCCTGGAATCTGTAGAGGCAGTTACCAGACACGTTTTAGACAGCAGTAAGCCAGTAGGCAAATTGTAGTATGAAAATACTGTTAAAAAATATACCATCACTACTATTTTTAAAGGATGGATATTTCGAAGATATTCTGTTGTGGCAATACATGTTTGAACAAATATTGTGAGCGTTAGGTACATCTAAAATATTTCTATACATAATTTTCGTTGTAATTTAATTTCAGTAATATGTGTAGTCTGGCGAGGAGAAGCTTAGTTATAATTCATATAACTTTGTTCTTATAGTTGTATTTGATTTTCAACCTTAGTAATTTTGGAAACAATCTAGGGGAGATAACCCCGTTGGCCCTTACCAACGCCTCAAGCTCGGTAAATTCGCTGCCACCACAAGATCCTCACGGCGATATCCCGTTTTCGGAGCTCTCTATACTATCTTACCGAGAGTGTAATGAAACTGTCACGCGCTGGGTCGGAGCTTGCTGCCACCGGTGTGGGCGCGCCTATTACAAGAATCTTAAAATTTGCCCTCTAAAACAAAAATGTAAACACGTTCAAATTTGACCACATGTCACAGATGAATTCATCTTTTTGTTTGTTTGATCAGATTGGTTCGAGATTGCAGACGAACAGAAAATCAACCAACTTCCCCATTACATTCTTACTATACCAATTACCTAATATAGTTGTCATGAAACAGAAATTCAAACTGACAAACAAAGAAAACAATTTAGCAGGGGTATTCGGCGTCATGGCAGTCATCACTTGTTTGAAAGTTACATAGCGGTCAGTCGGTTGCGAGGTCAAATCCAAGCATGGTTGTTGCAGAGACCATATAATAGAGGGACGGCCCTCTAGCCTATGCGCGAAACCATCAGTGCGCAGCCTGTCCGGAAGCGAGCAGAAACGCGTTCACTGCAGTCATCGTTGTCGCCTTTTTTCCCACGCAAAAGATATATTTCACAATACATATTTACACTCATGTATTTCTTAACATTGTAAACATTACAACTGAGATTTGTTGGTGCCCTAAAGCATGTCGTTGTCACTGTATTTGATGACTGTGATCACGCTTTATCTTTCTATCTTTCTTTCTATTATATGGTCTCTGGTTGTAGATATCTATCACCGTGGCGAGCTTTCACTGGTTGCAGCGATAGTATAGAGAGCTCCGCGAACGGGATGTCGCTATGAGGAGCTTGGATGATGATGGTGTACCGCAAGCTACTCACAGCGATAGTCCGTTCGCGGAGCTCTCTATACTATCGATGTTACCGAGAGTGTAACGAAGGTGTCACGCGCTGGGAAGGAGTTTGGGTGTACCGATGAGAGTGACCTCCCTTATAGGGAGTATAAGTAAGCTCCTAACAACGACAGCCCGTTCACAGTGCTGTCTATTACAATACCGGGTGTTTAACGAAGGTGCACTGAGAGGGAGCATGGAATAGAAGATAGTGTCGAACAGAGACGCTTGTCTTGATTCGTCTCGTGGTACGAGCGCCACAAACAACTCAGTAGCTCAGAAATGAACATTTCACGAAATAGCGAAATATTGAGCATTTGCTTTACACATTGGTAACGCCAGTGACAAAATATCAAAGACAATACGGGGAGAAGGGCTGAAGGGGTCGTTGTCGGCACAGGTTACTACAGAAATATACCCCAGGTACGTTTATGTATAAAGAAATGTACGCTAGCCAAAATCAAACTACAGAAACGTACCTGGGGTACATTTCTGTAGTACCTGTGCCGGGAGGTACACCAAGCCCACATTTGCAATGATAGCTTTCGGACATTCTAGAGAAATATAACTGCTTGCACATTTGGGATAGCCTAGGTATCTGGAGTATTCGGCTTCATGATGACTTGTCAGTATATTTGCGGTTGATGCAGTTTGTTTGTTTGTTGTTGTTTAACGCCACACTCAGCAATGTTCCAGCTATATGACGGCGGTCTGTAAATAATCGAGTCTGGACCAGACAATCCAGTGATTTACATCATGAGCATCGATCCGCGCAATTTGGATACGATGACATGCATCAGCCAAGTGCGTCAGCGAGCCAATGGATTGTTTGGTCCAGACTTGATTATTTATAGGACGGGGTCATATAGCTGGAATATTGCGGCGTTAAACAAGAGACTAATACTCAGAGAGACGTGCACAATGTGAGCGTAGGTCGGATTTTACTTTCTATCTGTTAGAAGTTACTTAACCAATGCAAGCCGATCTCAGTGTGAAAAAGCACGCGTTGTGGGTGTGGTGTGTGGTATGAGTGAGTGAGTTGGGTTAAACGCCGTATTAAACAATATTCCAGTTATATCACGGCGTGTCATCTTGATGTGGGAAGAAAGTCCCAAGTGATGTAAGTCTTAGACGTTTTCCACTTTTGTTAAACCCAGAGCACGAGTGTGGTGCTGACAAACCTAGAAACAGAATCCGGGCGAACTGGGATTTGAACCCACAATCCTAGGTTTGCTGAGGGGGCGCAGCTCTGCACAGGGAATTTCGGCGCCTTAGACGACTAAGCCACCCGTGCCTCAGTGTACACTGTAGTGAGTAGAACAATAACGAAAGACAATCAATAACAACCCGCAATTTCAATCAGCAAGTTTGTGGTTTGTATCTCATAATCTTCATCACATTACACGAGTAACCTTTTATGTAAGGTTTGTTTGTTGTTTAACTTATTCAGCTCTAGTTCAGGTTGCTCTGAGGACCAGGGCCTCATTCAGTGCTAAGACAATCATAACTTCCATTCTTTAACACACTAGTATGATCATTGTAGTGCTAAGATCGCTTTCTGTTTGTTTGTTTGTTTGTTTGTTTGTTTAACGCTACACTCAGCAATATTCCAGCTATGAGACGGCAGTCTGTAAATAATTAAGTCTTAACCAGAATTTCCAGTTATTGATACTATGAGCGATGACATGCATCAACCAAGTCAACGAGCCTGACCACCCGATCCCGTTAGTTGCCTCTTACGACAAGCATGGGTTGCTGAAGACTAGTAGCAACATGTACTCAATCACTGTAACATGTACATTTCAACAGTCAATGATATAGACACCCTTAAGTTCTGATGTTAATCATATTACAGGGGGTATATATCATCCGCGTGTTTGTCTGCATATATAAATGTATCATTCATATCAGAGACCGTATACTGGTACCTATCTGTAAATGGTTTTTGTGCATATCCATTTTGCCCCCCTTACCGCGCAGAGACAATGATTTAAGACAGATTTGACAGAAAGACTTGATCACTTGATTTACAAAACAAAAACCGCGAAAAGGTCTTTTGATAGAAATCGATCCTGAAATGCGTTAATTGCGTTTATTTTGAGCGCTTCGTTACAAATAATAGAAGTCAAGAGTGGTCTCCCGTGCATATTCGATCCGATATTATCCGAGGTTAAACAATCTCCGTTACCACTCGTCTTTTCCGGAATCAGCCGAATGGTTGCTGACGAAGGGACACGGATTAACGCGAACAAGTGGAGCCCTCTACCGACAAGATGTGAAGATCCGGTTTTAGCTGACAGCTGAGGTGGTCCGAATGTTTTGGTATGCGTCTGTTTTCCTCCCAAACTGAGGAAGTGTGGCGGGCAATGCTGGTCTTGTATGGATCATTAGAAACCCTGTGATACAACAACATCGGAATAAGTGGTCAAAAGGACGCCAGACGCACAATTCACGATGACAACGCCATACATATCAGGAAAGCGAATGCCTCTAAAAGCGACATTCGTCGCTTCTATTTTGAGAGGCCCCGACATGTCAAAGGTCATCAGACGAGCCCCGATTGCACCCCGTGGAGGGGATGTTTTTGTTTTTTGTATTGAAAACAACGCTCCTCGAGGTAAGTTGTCGAAATCCGTTGAACTTATTCTGGAATAATTGATACGCATGACTCGGAATGACTCGTCATGGTGTTAACGCTTGAGCATGGCTGAGGTCCATGAACAGACGAGATTTTATAGTTGATTTATGTTTGTCAAACTCCTTATACTCAAAAAATTTGAATCAAGATGAGTGTTTTGAAAGAAAGATGTGTGAATTATTATTCTGTAGCGATGTGGCCATGCCAGTACTCGCGGTTGTTCGAGTCCAAAATGTATCTAAATTTTCATTGTCAAATGCTTCCTCGTTTGAGAAGGAAATGACTGAAGGGGGAATCCCCGTGTGTCGAACTTACACGCACGGTTCAATCGTGATGAACAATACAGTGCCCACGAAAGTATCTCGAAATACAGGACCATGTAACAATAAAAATAAAAAAAGTCGCAAAATATCATAGACGAGGCAAACAAGTTTCTGTGGCGTTTAATCAATTGCATCTATTTGCTAGACCCTTCAATGGCAATACAATGAAACAAAAACAAAACAAGAATGGCAAAATGTATTTAACGTTTTGACACTAAACTAAAACATGATTTATGAATCCATAACACAATAAGGTTAACCACATCAAAATGAAACGTGAGTTGTTCTGATGTTTTTACCACAATTATATTTCTTAACTCTAAGCAGGTCACTACCTGCCTATTTGCATATGACACATACCATACATAAGTCTTCTATTATAATCTGTTTCAATATGTCGATTATCAAATGAGAAGTCATCTTCCCGAGGCAAGGGTGTTTTAACTGACAATGAAAGTCCAGTGTCCACCCTTGCGGAACTAGGCTGGAATTTCAGAGTAATATTTTGACTGGACTAACAAACCAAACAAGTCAGCATTGTCCAATCAAAATCGCATAACTAATCACGATTAAAGACACATTCTATTACAATATTGATCTTGATTATCGATCAGATCGTCTTGACTGTTTGCTACCATTTTGTATGCAAGTAATGTGATAGGTGGAATCTTATTGGTCAATAGGAGGGACAAAGAAGGGAATACAGTAATTCGTAATAGCCACCAGTGGTGCTACAATATTTCAGCCTTGTGTGGCAATGGTGGAAACTGGACTTTTATAGTTGGTTAACTTCCTTGCCTCGGGAAGATGACGATTAGTAATCCGATAACAAGAGACAAATGTTGTCAAGGAGATTCCTTATTGCCAGTTATTTGCATTCAATATTGACGTACCATTTCTATAACAGCATTAGAAATTGATACTATTCCTAAAATTCTTATAGTCCTTGCCAAACAGCCCACTAGTTAAGGCATGATCAGGACCAGTCGAATTTTTTTTTAAGGGTTTTGCTACATGTTATCATAATAAGGACTCGTTGGCTGAAACTGTTAGCTTCTATCGTTGCATAATATTTTGTCACTATCAAGTGTTCTGAAGAGAATTGAGGGGGTATTTAATGGTGAGCTTGACCTGTGTGTATTTGAGTGAAATTGCAGGCTCATAACTTAATTAATTTTCAATAGAAATACAGAGGCAGACAATATGTTTCAATTAAATATTTACAATGTTGGTACATGTATCAGTCCAGGTGACAATTCTTAGAGAGAGAAAAGATGTTTTGCCTTGAGGACCCTAAACATGCAAAAACATGTGAATGATAGCACAAAAATATCGTGTGTTATACTGTGACTTACAAAGCTGTGAAGCTGAGAGCCTAAGTGTAGTGCGACTTACATCTGTATCTAGTGAAAACTCAATATTATACATGTTATACATGATCAAGATAAGCGACAGATCAGCAACTGTGGACTGCAGGCTATTGTGATGACTGTGACTAATTAAACATTATGGCAATGGCAGTTGTGACTGTGACAAGTCACTAATCATGCTAATAACGTACTTTTTGTACCAAAGAAAACAAGTTTCAAATGTTGTTTATTTATTATATTTTGATATCCACTTACCTACCAGATACCATGTTTAAGAAAAAAATAATACAAGTATACCTCCTTACTTACCGTATTCGATGTAATAAGCGCCCACAGCGATACTTACTAATATATTGGCTAGTGAACAATGCCAATTAGCACCCCTTACGATTGATCAATGTACACAAGACTTATTTATTTGTGTATAATACGCACTTGTGTGATATATGCACCCTTAATTATGAGCAATTAAATTCTGGAAAATATATCTGTCGTGTATTATACGCACATACTTGTCTTTTGTATCATTTGTGGCTGTCAGCATAAACCACGAAATTTACGATCTTTTAATTCTGTTTTTTTTTCTCACTAAAAGTATATTCTAATAAGAGCCCCATATTTCTAATTTTGAGAGCGCCCTGGGCGCTTATTATGTTGAATACGGTATATCATTTATCAGTTTCTTGTATCAACAACATTTAGTTATTTACTAGATTTACGATCATGCTTACTACATGTACTATTAGATCCTAGGTATCAGCAATATCTCCGCATTTTCTGATTGATTAAATGATTCCCATGGTCAGTAATATTTCTAAAAACAAAACAAAAGTCACATTCATACATGTCCTGTATTGGCGGGGATGTCCTGAGATCTTTTCTTTAGTAGGGTCTAGGGAGAACAATGATCTGATTTAAATGAGATTGAATTCGACCAGTATTTGAACAGTTGAAATAATTTAAACATAATAAATATTAAAAAATTACATCTTGATTAAGTTGAAATAATGCAAACAATTACTTGAGAATCTGTGAGGAGTTATTATTAAACTGAATACGTAAGATCATGAAGATGGCTTTCATTATCTGCCAGACAGTCAAGCAGGTAGGGGAAACTTTCACACATCCCAAGAGAAAAGTTACCTGCCATAAGCAGGCAGTTATTTCACACACTGAAATGGACAGAAGCAGGGAATGAAATGACCACAGTGTGAGAAATATTAAACCTTGGGCTACTATAATATGTAGAACCATGATAATTGATAGAACATTCCCCTTCTTCTGAACAAAACTGGTACGTGGGGATATGATTTCAATAGTCTTTTTACTCTTATTAACATGTGAGATCTCATACAAACATGTCAATTTTGCCAGGATGCCATGGGAATGTTGTTTCACGTCCCAGACAGAATTGAATTGTCTTGAAGAAGCTGGATACCTTTGTTTAGGCAAGTTTCTACTTTGGATTGAAAGAAGAATGAGAAATGCATAGTGTGAGATAGGATAAGTATTATCAATATAAAATTCACAATATATCATTGATATACAATATACAAGTTTGTTAAAGTAAAAACTCATTTATTTAATGATTTCAGAGGCCTGGAAAAATGACAACATCCACTTCCACCATGATGGGACAAGGGGTCAACCCAAGACGAATCCTATTGTGAGGAAGGTATTTTTCTGTGCAATGGTTGGAGATGGCAGGTGGACTCGGGAGTTTATGAAGCATGTGTATACCTTGTATCACAATCCCAACAACTATGTGGTCATTCACTACCTAGGGGATGAGTCCATATCACGAGCTGTTCCTCGGCACAGGAAACCCAGGAGCAACTTGAAGAAGCATACAACTTGCTCCTCTACAGGGATTCAGGTAGACACATCCGAATTGTCTCCCCGTGATGAGTCCTCAGATCATCAGGATGAGGGTATTCTTAGTGGAGATGAAGTTGACCATGAGGATGAGGAAGAGGACTACTCAGGAACAGTGGACTCCAGTGAACCGACAGTGGAGATTGATGTGGCAGAGGAAGATTCAGGTGTCCCTCAGTCGCATATGTTACTTTCCAGTAGTGGCTGCCAGTCGGATAGTCATATCAGTAATGTCACTGAAGCTTCCACGTCCACTGGGCTTCCATTCACATCAACTCCTATTGCAGGAGACACTTACCACGAGTCCGTTCCATTCGCATGTCTGGACATGATGCCTATGACAAATCCATTGGGACTCCTCTCTGAAGTGACACTTTCTTGTAGGCCTTTAGATAATACTACCCATCTCTTTAATCCTAATGAACCCTCCACATCCTTTGCTCACATGAACAGTTACACGGGTGGCGGTGGAGGTAGTGTGTATATTAGTACACCAAGCGAACCTGAACCTAGGTCTGTAATTCCAAAGAAAAGACTTGCAATGAGGGTTGAAGGACAGGAGACTGATGCTATGTTTACAGTGGGGGAAATAGCAACACATGGAACCCCAACTGTACACCATGTTCAGCCAACAGGCCGTCTCCCCAAGAAGAGGAGGCTGGAGTTCACTGAGAGTTCTCCCGTTGATCCAGGTCCCAGCTGTGTGGGCGACCGTTACCATGTACCTTCTGATGACCCTGGAGATGCTACGGACACGGGTCAGTCCAGTGACCAGCATCCAAGTGCCCAACAGCCAGATGGCCATTGCAACAGAACAGATGTGTCCAACCCGTCTCCACCTTCTGACAGAACAAGCAGGCCAAGAGTGAGCCATACTTTGAGAGAGGATTTAGAGAGCAGTTTTCATACACTGGTGCAGAATGTGAGGAACTTGGAGAACATGTTAGGAGAGCCTGGGTTGTGGGAGTCGAATAGGGACACAAGAGAGGTAGGAACTGATCCTGAGGATTCCCGGCCTACTCTGGAGGAGTTCATCCAGGAACTTGTGGCCAGTGGCCAGCTTGCTTTGATTGTATCACATGTCATGCAGATGGCATCCAGCTGGAAACAGAAACCTAGTGCTTTCAATTCACGGACCAACCCATGTGTGACGCTGGTTTATCAGATCTGTCAGGCATGGGGAGAGGACATGGTGACTGCAAGGTCAAGGTTGATGAATCTCCTTGGCAAGAACTCAATGTCGGAGAGTGATGTAAAGAATTACTATCACTTGGTGACTGCGTGTGTTGTTGGGGCGTACCGGACAGAAGTGCCTGTAGCTGTGTTTCTGACAACACTGAGCACCTGGCCATCACACATGGAGGAATGTGACACACGGTCAGATGTGGAGGTGGATGAATCTGTCCGGTGTGCTGTTGCTAGGACCTCACTGACTGGTGGACAGCTCAAGACACTGGAGAAAAACGATGCCATTGATGCACAGGTTCGTATGGAATTGTACCCGTGTACCACAGGGATACAAAATATATAATTTTGTCAAGTGTGCCACATGGCACTCTTTAAGACTGTTTAAGAGTTTGGTATGTTTTGAATTTGAAACTGCAAACATGAAGATAACAATGAATCATCTTCAAACGAGTTGAATATTTCACCATGAGCTAAATTTTGAGCATTTACCATGTTTACAATTTGAAAGGTTTTCCCCTCTCTGTTTAATTGATATTCATATCATCCTTTCTGAATCTGAATCCCCTTGTGTATTTTGTGTAGAAATGATCTTTTTCCATGTGTTTGTCTGGCTATCTGTTTGCCGTGTCCACTCATGCCGAAGTAAAATGATTAGTTGAGAACATAATCATGTTTATCCTCATGATTGTGTGTCATTGTTGTTCCTCATCATCATGATCATAGGCGTACCGCAAGCATAATCATGCTCATGTCATGATATGTAATACTAACAATACTATTACCAGAATTATTAGCAATGATTTTGTTTCAATACATCTACAAGTGTTGTTACTGGGTGAGGTAGTCATTATTGGTGACATGATATGAATAATAATCATTGATGATGATTCTAGTGGTAAGAGGCTGGGGGCCCACATTAATTTCTAAAAATAGTGACACTGCTTTTATCATGTTTACAATGTTGACTTGTGATGATGACAGACATGAAGAGGAATAAATCTGTAGCTTGTGATATACATAAGTTGTTGTCTTGGTTACCAGGTGATAAAGGCGTACCTACAGATGTTGGCCAGTCACTGGAATGCACTTCTCCCACACCACTGCTATGTTCTCCCCATGGCCTTACAGCAACTGTGGCAGAGAGAGGAATACAACAGAGGCATGTTGGACAAGGTACTGTACCCAGGGCCCCCTTCCACAAAGCGATTGGACCCGCGAAGTTCTGCATTAGAATAGGTCTACAGCAACACATGCTTGTCGTTAACGTATCCAAATTGCGTAGATCGATGCTCATGATGTCAACATGATCAATCACTCGATTGTCTGGTTCAGATTTGATTATTTACAGATCGCTGTCATATAGTAATGCTGAGTGTGGCGTTAACAAACAAACAAACAAAGCGATCTTAGCACTACAATGATCATACTTTAATTACTAGTGTGTTAACAATGATTAAGAATGGGAGTTATGATTGTCTTTGCACTAAGATTGCTTTGTGAATGTGGCCCTGGTCCACCTAAGCATTGACTCAGGTTGACAACCCCTTGCTTGAAGTAACCAAAACCTCTGGTAATAGTGAGTTCAGGTAAGATCCAGGGTTGGTTTGACTCCTAACACACATAAGGTACTAAGGTTGATATTTAGTCAGTGTATATTCAGAGCAGTTTTTGAAACATGATGATAGGGTTTTTCTTCTTATTTGTAACATGTGTACATGGTGTAAGGTATCAATTATTTTCTAAATGTTGAAAATCAAATTTTTCTGATTATACATACATGGTATAATTTTGATAATAATGCAAATAGTGATAATGTTATTACGAAAATATCAAGAAAAATAATTGAAACATATTTAACACTGTCAAGCAGCGAGACATATAATATAAACAAAAGTATCACCTTGTTCCAACATGTCCATTGCTCTGCAGAGAAGGACCAAATGCACCATCACATAGTTTATTGGCAAGATTGATCCAAAACCTTTCCCCCAATACACACATTGGGACATTTTTGTATCCTGAGTAAGTTTTCTACCCGGTAAATATTACAGGAAATTTAGGCGAACATATTGTTTGGCCCCACTTTGAGTTCGTTATAACCGTAGTTCATTGTACTTTTGAAGTGTCATCTTGAATGGAATGGAACGCTGCTTTCTTAGTGGCTAATGCTGCCTTCCTATTAGTCATGACTCATTTGATTGGTCAGTCAAAGTTCATGAAAGGTCAGTCGGATGTGATGTGTAATTGGATGTCCTCAGAGGTATCAAGAACTTTTAAACTGATTTTAAAGAGATTGGGGTAATTTAAACATGTGATAAATCTTGTTTTGTTTATTTAATGCATTTATTGTTTATTGTTAAGCAAGTTTATCTCTGCAGCCATTGTAATATGCAGCTACCAGCTGATGCGTCTCACATCAAAACATGGGGCTGTGTACTCGCGGGCAGATGACTACAGGATACACTGATCAGTGATCACTGTGTCAGGTTAACAAGACTGATTTTGCTAATTCGTTGCAAATCAGGTGTGTCGGCGTCAGAGTGCGAGACTGTCGGATTAACAAGTCATTAGTGTCGGATAAAGCCGATTGTCAGATTAACGAGGGTCGGATTAATGAGACTTGACTGTTCAGTCAAATCAATGATTGGCCGAAACATGCAAAATGACACAGCTTATGTTTGAGGTGTCCTTGCAGAAATGTTTGACTTTGAACAGATAATGAGATGCATAGACATACAATTGAATGAAAAAAGAAAAGTAATTGAAAGGTATGGTTGCTATGGTTACAGGAAGTACTGACTGAATACACATGGATCCTGATGCCGTATCAGGCGTCAGACAATCATTGGGTGCTGCTGGTCGCCAATGTACAAGATGGAACAATCCGGGTGGTCAACACAGCACCAACTAAGCATCCCGATGTGACCATTGAAACAGCTGACCACTGGAGGTGGGTAGCCACTCACACATGCTTGATTGATTAATTCCATAAACATAATAGAAACTTTGCAACAGATATATTCATAGATCTAAAAATCCCCACAGTCACCTAGTAACCCTCCTTGAGACATTTGAGATACCAACTTAGCATGCTGAAGGAGGTGGTTTGGTCGTAATCTTTTCTAATGAAGTTTTGTGCTCACTAGACTCGACTACTGCAATAGTTTGCTAGGTATTATCTCTAAGGAGCAGAACATGGCATCAAGGATTGTGTCAAGAACCAAAAAGGACATTTGACACCTGTGCTTCTCGATGTGCACTGGCCCCCCCAGTAGGATGTTTTGACCTGCCCAATAGCCGTGATAGCATGTATAGTGTCATATTTCTCCTACAAGATAGGATGCTCTGACCTGCCCAATAGCATGTGTAGTGTCATATTTCTCCTACATGATAGAATGTTCTGACCTGCCCAATAGCATGTATAGTGTCATATTTCTCCTACATGAAAGGATGTTTTGAAATGCCCAAAAGCATGTATAGTGTCATATATCTCCTACATGATAGGATGTTTTGACCTGCCCAATAGCATGTATAGTGTCATATTTCTCCTACATTATAAGATGTTTTGACCTGCCCAATAGCATGTATAGTGTAATATTTCTCCTACATGATAGGATGTTTTGACCTGCCCAATAGCATGTATAGTGTCATATTTCTCCTACATGATAGAGATGTTTTGACATGCCCAATAGCATGTGTAGTGTCATATTTCTCCTACATGATAAGATGTTTTGACATGCCCAATAGCATGTGTAGTGTCATATTTCTCCTACATGATAGAATGTTCTGACCTGCCCAATAGCATGTGTAGTGTCATATTTCTCCTACATGAAAGGATGTTTTGACATGCCCAAAAGCATGTATAGTGTCATATTTCTCCTACATGATAGAATGTTTTGACCTGCCCAATAGCATGTATAGTGTCATATTTCTCCTACATGATAGAGATGTTTTGACATGCCCAATAGCATGTGTAGTGTCATATTTCTCCTACATGATAAGATGTTTTGACATGCCCAATAGCATGTGTAGTGTCATATTTCTCCTACATGATAGAATGTTTTGACCTGCCCAATAGCATGTGTAGTGTCATATTTCTCCTACATGAAAGGATGTTTTGACATGCCCAAAAGCATGTATAGTGTCATATTTCTCCTACATGATAGAATGTTTTGACCTGCCCAATAGCATGTATAGTGTCATATTTCTCCTACATGATAAGATGTTTTGACCTGCCCAATAGCATGTATAGTGTCATATTTCTCCTACATGATAGGATGTTTTGACCTGCCCAATAGCATGTATAGTGTCATATTTCTCCTACATGATAGAATGTTTTTAGCTGCCCAATAGCATGTATAGTGTCATATTTCTCCTACATGATAGAGATGTTTTGACATGCCCAATAGCATGTGTAGTGTCATATTTCTCCTACATGATAAGATGTTTTGACATGCCCAATAGCATGTGTAGTGTCATATTTCTCCTACATGATAGAATGTTTTGACATGCCCAATAGCATGTGTAGTGTCATATTTCTCCTACATGATAGGATGCTCTGACCTGCCCAATAGCATGTATAGTATCATATTTCTCCTACATGATAGAATGTTCTGACCTGCCCAATAGCATGTATAGTGTCATATTTCTCCTACATGATAGGATGTTTTGACCTGCCCAATAGCATGTATAGTGTCATATTTCTCCTACATGATAGGATGTTTTGACCTGCCCAATAGCATGTATAGTGTCATATTTCTCCTACATGATAGAGATGTTTTGACCTGCCCAATAGCATGTATAGTGTCATATTTCTCCTACATGATAAGATGTTTTGACCTGCCCAATAGCATGTATAGTGTCATATTTCTCCTACATGATAGGATGTTTTGACCTGCCCAATAGCATGTATAGTGTCATATTTCTCCTACATGATAGAATGTTTTGACCTGCCCAATAGCATGTATAGTGTCATATTTCTCCTACATGATAGAGATGTTTTGACATGCCCAATAGCATGTGTAGTGTCATATTTCTCCTACATGATAAGATGTTTTGACATGCCCAATAGCATGTGTAGTGTCATATTTCTCCTACATGATAGAATGTTTTGACATGCCCAATAGCATGTGTAGTGTCATATTTCTCCTACATGATAGGATGCTCTGACCTGCCCAATAGCATGTATAGTATCATATTTCTCCTACATGATAGAATGTTCTGACCTGCCCAATAGCATGTATAGTGTCATATTTCTCCTACATGATAGGATGTTTTGACCTGCCCAATAGCATGTATAGTGTAATATTTCTCCTACATGATAGGATGTTTTGACCTGCCCAATAGCATGTATAGTGTCATATTTCTCCTACATGATAGAGATGTTTTGACATGCCCAATAGCATGTGTAGTGTCATATTTCTCCTACATGATAAGATGTTTTGACATGCCCAATAGCATGTGTAGTGTCATATTTCTCCTACATGATAGAATGTTCTGACCTGCCCAATAGCATGTGTAGTGTCATATTTCTCCTAAATGAAAGGATGTTTTGACATGCCCAAAAGCATGTATAGTGTCATATTTCTCCTACATGATAGAATGTTTTGACCTGCCCAATAGCATGTATAGTGTCATATTTCTCCTACATGATAGAGATGTTTTGACATGCCCAATAGCATGTGTAGTGTCATATTTCTCCTACATGATAAGATGTTTTGACATGCCCAATAGCATGTGTAGTGTCATATTTCTCCTACATGATAGAATGTTCTGACCTGCCCAATAGCATGTGTAGTGTCATATTTCTCCTACATGAAAGGATGTTTTGACATGCCCAAAAGCATGTATAGTGTCATATTTCTCCTACATGATAGAATGTTTTGACCTGCCCAATAGCATGTATAGTGTCATATTTCTCCTACATGATAAGATGTTTTGACCTGCCCAATAGCATGTATAGTGTCATATTTCTCCTACATGATAGGATGTTTTGACCTGCCCAATAGCATGTATAGTGTCATATTTCTCCTACATGATAGAATGTTTTTAGCTGCCCAATAGCATGTATAGTGTCATATTTCTCCTACATGATAGAGATGTTTTGACATGCCCAATAGCATGTGTAGTGTCATATTTCTCCTACATGATAAGATGTTTTGACATGCCCAATAGCATGTGTAGTGTCATATTTCTCCTACATGATAGAATGTTTTGACATGCCCAATAGCATGTGTAGTGTCATATTTCTCCTACATGATAGGATGCTCTGACCTGCCCAATAGCATGTATAGTATCATATTTCTCCTACATGATAGAATGTTCTGACCTGCCCAATAGCATGTATAGTGTCATATTTCTCCTACATGATAGGATGTTTTGACCTGCCCAATAGCATGTATAGTGTCATATTTCTCCTACATGATAAGATGTTTTTAGCTGCCCAATAGCATGTATAGTGTCATATTTCTCCTACATGATAAGATGTTTTGACCTGCCCAATAGCATGTGTAGTGTCATATTTCTCCTACATGATAGAATGTTTTGACCTGCCCAATAGCATGTATAGTGTCATATTTCTCCTACATGATAGAGATGTTTTGACATGCCCAATAGCATGTGTAGTGTCATATTTCTCCTACATGATAAGATGTTTTGACATGCCCAATAGCATGTGTAGTGTCATATTTCTCCTACATGATAGAATGTTCTGACCTGCCCAATAGCATGTGTAGTGTCATATTTCTCCTACATGATAGGATGCACTGACCTGCCCAATAGCATGTATAGTGTCATATTTCTCCTACATGATAGAATGTTTTGACCTGCCCAATAGCATGTATAGTGTCATATTTATCCTACATGATAGGATGTTTTGACCTGCCCAATAGCATGTGTAGTGTCATATTTCTCCTACATGATAGGATGTTTTGACGTGCCCAATAGCATGTATAGTGTCATATTTCTCCTACATGATAGGATGTTCTGACTGTTAATCCCTATAGTGATACATATTTCTCCCATTAATTTTGATGTTTCTCCTATTTCTCCAGGAAGTACATGAAGTATCGCAGCTCCCACACTGGACAGAACCTGACAAGATGGAGCCTGGAGGACTGTCATGTGTTGGAGCAAACAGATCCACCCAGTAGCGGAGTCCATGTTTTGATGGTCAGTATTCACAGACGTCTTCACCTTCATGCAATATGTCACAAGGTCCTCATCCGACAAATATGGAACCTAGTGGTCTTTAAAAAACATAGCTGCCTCCACTCCTTTGCGTGGAACAGAATATGTCCTCAGTATGTTTGTTAAACAAGTTGACTGAGGATGGGACTGACACCATGGGTGACCTAGCTGAGTGTGTCATTGTGCCCTGACTGCACTGATTCATTTTTTACTATGTTGCCAGGTAGGGGTGTGTGATATAACTGGCATACCGGTATATTGCAATACAGCCGTCAGCAAGACATGCATATCAATACAGCCATTGTGTATCCATATTTTCCGATACAGTCAAAGAAGAATTAATCTATAATTATTTAGATCATATCTACTATTTGGCATTTGGATGGACTGGGTTCATATGTAAACAGAAAACATTTTACATTAATATTCCATATTGATGACACAATAGGTAGTCGTTTATCCATACTACCCATCTCGCAATTTGAAGTCGGGATCATTGAATGAAGTACCATTTGAACAGAACAGATATACATAATTTGGGCCCAAATACGTACTGCAGTATGTATCGCAATACAGCTTCTGAAGAAAGGGTTATGGCCTCTGAGGTTTGAAACAGCCAGAGACAACATACAGTACAGCATTTGTCATTTTAGAATGTGTTAAAATGGTAAACATGGTAAAAGTTTCACTATCTTTGTATAATTACAAACTGCAGTCATCTAGCTGGAATATTGCTGACATCAGCGTTTAACAACAAACAATTTTATTAAGCATGTTTTTTTGTGTGAAACCATTTCGTAATCATCATGAGATGGGAACTCATGTGAACTATTGCTAAGGTTATTTTTCTGTTGTAGGCAGCGGAGTCCATCCTACGTGGAGCATCACCTGTAGTAATGAGAAATTGTCATGTCCGACGGTTCCGTCAGTATGCGCTCGATAAAATTCTCAATGCAGCTAACTTTGATATGCAGGAGGAGCAAATTGGTGGACGTATGTATGCGTGATTATTAATTGATTAATCCTTTGTTGTATGCGTGACAATAACTGCAGCAAGGTTAACTTCTAGTTTACAAGTGATTACCAACGATAACAGACGATGTCTTTTTTTTAATATCATTCGCTTAATCATATTTTAGGATTATTTTTTTTCGAATTATTGTAATGTTATGAAATTTCTGGAATATCTAATCATGATTGATTGATTGATTGATTGATTGATTGATTGATTGATTGATTGATTGATTGATTGATTGATTGATTGATTGATTGATTTTTAACCGCAAATGTGAGCCAATGCTTCCAGAGTAATTTGGTCCAGATTAAGGGGTTTCATTGTTTATGACGAACAGCTGACATTAAATGTTTTTCAACTGTGTTTCAGTGGATGATGAGGAGGATCTTCTTGCTGAGGACAACCTGCCAACAGGAGCTGATGGTTGTCCAGAGTCCATGGACAGAGACATCTCCTCTCGGGGTGCTGGGTCCAGTCAGACATGCATGTCAGCCAGTGCTGTACCCTCCTGCAGTTCAGCCTCTGTGTCAGGGGTGCAAGGCAGAGAGTCACCAGTTGGGAGGACCTCACCCCAAAGTCCCCGGAAGAGGAGGCACTCATCTGGAGCTTCTGTGATTGATAGTCAAGACAAGGCAATAGATTTCTCCCTGGCCCAGAGCGGGGGCATATCTGAAGATGGACAGCCCAGGAGCTCAGATGATGGTAGAAACTGCCGGAATCGCAGTCCCACTCAGTTTGTCGGCTCGCACCCTAAAGAACATAACTATGCCAATCGAGTGTCAGCCGCACAGGGAGCAGCATTCCTGAAGCCCACCCCCCACACTATTCCAAGCGCTGACAACCTAGAGAATGTTCCAAGGCAAGTGATAAACCCTGTTCCTGTGTTCAGACCATCGGGGTATTTGTTCCAGAGTGGATATGTTCCCAAACATCCACCTCCAATGTACCCAATAGACAATTTATATCGTGGACCTGGCCCCTTCCCGAATCCCCTCTCCTCCTCAACTGTCCAGGAGAAACCATGTGATATGAGTATGCAATCTCAGATAGCTCTAGACTCTCAACCAAGCACATCCTCTCAGTATAGTTATGCGCAGATGAACTCAGAGGTTGAGGATCTAAGAGTAAACCCCTCCAGCAGCTTTAACCATCCTCATCTACCCCCTCCCTACCAGGTGTCTGAGTCAGCAGGGGCAACTTACACCGAGCTCTCAAATGTCCGCATCTCTGATCTGCAGTCAAGCAGCCTCATCACAAGCTCACTGACCATTGCTGAAAACGAGAATCTGGTGATGAAGACAATTGTGAGGGATGCCTCCCCATCCCCGTCAGCATCATCAGATAGCAGTAACATCACCATCCATGTTGTATCACCGGCGCCAGATCAAAGACTAGCTGGTGAATCATCAGAAGATGGATTTGCTCATGTGACTCGGCCTTCTACTAGTAGAGTTGTTAGTGACCAAGATCTGTTCCGGGCATCTGGGAGTGGACAAGGATCTGGGAGTGTTGAGTCGAGGGCAGCAGGAGCTGACGGTCACTCTGCACCTCCATGTAGTGACTCTGAAGACAGTGATGGGGACAAAGAGGAAGATCTTAGTAATCTGAATATGCTTAGTGCAGTAGCATCAAAAGATGCATGATCTTTGTTTTAGTTATTTAAAAAGTAACCTGTAATATTGTTCAATGAATTTATGGTACCATGATGTATGCAGGTTAAAGGAGGAGATGAGTATCTGATGGACTGCTGCAGAAGTGTCCGGGGTCCAGCTGTAGCAACAAATTCAGGGATAAATTAATACATGTATAAATGATTGTCCTGAAGCTTCATGTCTCACACAAATCTTGTAAACCTGCTTACATGTTGGACATTCAGGTAGAAACTGTAGACATACCAGGTCTTCACTTGAGCAAATGTCACATCTGTTCATCTGTTCACCAAATATGTAACGCTTTATCTAATAGTGCTTGGAATATGTGGAAGTGTGGTAACCATTCTGACTTTGCTGAAGTAAAATTTTCATCCTGTTATTGAATTCATTACGTTCCAGTACTGTATGTTCATCAAGTTAGGATCCATTGTTGTGTTATATTTTAACATGTTCACCTTGTTTGATGTGTCTGTAATTAGTTTGTGCACTAACGGACTATGTGCTTTTTAATTTATTTGTTTTAATGTTGAATTTTTAAATATAGACGCCCCCACCCCTCCAACTGTTCCAGTTTTACACTTTGTTTTGTTAATAGATCGAAACAGTCTTAGAACATCTGAATATTTGTAGACTTCCTAACTCATTTAGGAATAGTTTGATAACATAATATTATGTTTCTCACAATTACTTACAATAAGATCTAAATTGGCTAATAAACCCTGGATGAAATAAAAAAAGACATGATTATAAGAGGCCATTAATTGGATCAGGTGGTCAGGCTCACTGACTTGGTTGATGCGTGTCATCGTATCCCAAGTGTGTAGATCGATGAAAATGATATCAATCACTTGATTGTCTGGTCCACACTTGATTATTTACAGATGGCCGTAATATAGCTGGATTATTGCTGAGCATTAAACAACAAACAAACAAAAACATATTGATGAAAGGGTGAAATCTTGTACCCCGGAAGGTTGTGTTATGCAATTTCTAGCCATAGCAAGCTTACTGTCAACTGTATGAAGATTGAAGAAGTCAGATATGTTCTCAAAAACAAAAAAGTGATCATTTAAATCTATTGAGAACTGATTTGATTTTCAAATTTTGAATTTATGAATTACAATACTTCTGATCTGTAGAACAAATATGGGGTCCATTTTCAGCTGAATTTAAATAAGTATGCTTTAAATTTTCAAAGACTAAACAGCATTGATCTATGTTCTTCAGTCCAGTGTTGCATATGAGACTTGGCAGATTCATCTTTGATCAAACTCAAGTGGTATTCAGAACAAAGCATAACCTCCAACCCTACTTCAGGTGTCAGTCACTAAGTCAGATTGTCAGTACAAGTGTTTCCGTTGAAATGCTTCAATAAGTGTAACACTCTTGGGTATATATGCCTGTCACTCTTCATAGTGCTTTCTTGTAACCTCTTCATCAAACACTGTATGCACTTAAGGTTCAGGGAGTTGAGTGAGTATGGTTTTAGCAATATTCCAGCAGTTTCACTGCGGAGGACACTGGGACATGGGCTTCACACATTGTACTCATGTGGGGAATCGAACCCAGGTCTTCACCGTGACGAGCCAACCCTTTAACCACTAGACTACCCATCACCTAGGGTAGTTGCGGGTTACTGTTGTCATGGAAGATTTGATTTAAGGACATGTTTATGATAACTGATCATGAAGTTTATAGATACATAAAATACTTACTATTTCCAGATGATGTATATATAATGTATAGAGGTGTATCTTATTATGTAAATGTAATGTTTTCAAAGTCAGTGAACAGATTTGATTGAATAACTATAACTGTATTGTCTTAGTTGTCATGGTCAGATGCAATATATATATGTGTGATCATTATCTTGTAGACGTTTACAAGATCTATTTCATTATGTTTATAATTGTACAAGTAGCACGTGTGTAGCCCTTCTGTTAGTCTCCCTGTCTGTACAACAACAGTGAAACTCCTAACCAACCATCACACAGTGACACCAGTCTATCCATGTACAAGCATCCACATGACAGCTGCAATTACACCTCAACAGTAATTCTGCAGTCCACATGCAGGTGCACTCTGCATCCTAAGCAATAATTCAGATGGAAGTATTTTTTTGAATATTCATTCACAACCGAACATACAGTGGTCAGAAGGAGCTTTTTCTGTGTTCAAGAATTCAATATAAAGGTCAGTTGGTTCCTGTCATAACCCTCCTATTGAAAATTGTAGATCGGTGGTACTTTTATCAAAGTATTTAATAAAATCTATGATGGAGACCAGGACCCTCTCAATCTTGAACATTTCTTTTCGATGCATTACGCAGCGGATGTGCATCACTTTGTTTGTGTACACCGTAAGCTCACTCGAAACGGTCGTGTAAAGTTATGTCATGGTGTGGTGTCCGTCTACCTTTAGCTCTACATTTTCAACATCTATGAAGCCGAAACTGGTGATACCATCGATGGTTTGTCTCAAAAGTGAAACAGAAATCAGCCATATTGAAAATAACATTTAGTTCCAGTACTTGTGTATTATTCAATCATTCTTACATTGGGTATGTGTAAGGACATGTTACTTGTTGACATGATCTGTTCTACTCTATGGCTTCATCATGCACCATATTCTCATTGTTGCCCATCAGGCATCCGCTGTTTTATTTTGCAATTCTGGATTTGCCAAAAAGAGCCAGAATCTCGCTAGAATACAGTACTACCAAAATCAAACAAATTCTAAAACTAATGTAACAGCTGTAGGCTTATCCTCAAGCTCTAGTTTACCCCCGTTCACTATACCCGGGTATTAGTTTCTTGAATGATAATTGATAAAATGTGTTGTTTATCTGGCCACTGTGGACCTCTAATAAATAGGACAAAGCATTCTCAAAAGTAAAGACATGTTGAGCTTCACAAGATTACAGCCCTATTGTAAAAGTCCTTTTGGTCCATTATTCAGCTGTCTGCATACATCACTGTGGAAAGCAAGTATGTTGGTGTGCAATACCATCTGATATGTCTCAATCTGATCAACGGAAACCTTCAATCTTTGTTTAAAGGCAGCGTTAGAAATTGTCACTAGTCCTGTAGTCCTTGCCAAACTGCCCAATAGTTAGGTACCACAAAGGACTAGTAGAAATTTGCCATTATTAATGTTTTTACTATATATTATCAGTGAGTTCAAGAGCCTTATGGCTCTAATATATTTATCTCACTAAAATGTCAAGGTTAGTCATCAGTTCAACAACAAAAGTGCAAAGAAAATTCGTGAACTTGAAATATTCACAATAGTATTGTGGAAATAAACTATCAGTGATCTTTTGTTACATCTGGTAGATTATATTAGCTGTAGGTGGGAATGACGGACAATCGTTTACCAGCAGGCAATAATGACTATTGATGGTCCAACTTTTCATGGGAAAATACAAACCAAATAAACAGAAAGGGTAGTCTTTGATCAGTGCATGAAATATGTAGTGGGTGGTGCATGTATTCATGTTTGTGTAACTGTTCATTAATAAGCAGCACGAAATAGGTGGCACTTCAGTAGGTTTTCCGATAACTTTTTCAAAAAGGTGTATTAATTACCGAGAGATACATGGTTTGGTATAAACATAAGAATGTGGTGTTTGGGGTAGTGTAGTGGTAAAGCAGGATCGCAGAGTTCCCTGTGTAGTTGCATCCCCTATATGTGCCAGGATCTACTAATCACTGGTTCAAGTCCATCTTTGTACTCTGTGTGCTTTGTCAGCTCCATACCCAAGCTCAACGTTTTTCATGCTCCTTGGGCTTTTGGTTTTACATTCTCAGGCTGTGATGTTACCGAAATACTGTTCTAAACACAAGTCAGTCACTCGTCAAAGCATTGGCTCATCCGGCTGAAGAGCCAGTAGGAGTGCCAGGTCTCTCCAAGCCTATGTTACGGGAAGCTTTGCAGTCAATGGATGTTGGATAAATCATCTATCACCCATCAATAGTTGTATGACTAGTACCACCACAAGGTGGAGGACTGCTCTTCTGTAAACAGATATAGCAAATTTATATGACTTTTTGCTTTATCAAGGACGTTTTTGTTTGATTGAACCCTGCCATGGCTAGAGTACACATACAGTGGAATCTGAAAACACTGCACTGCACAGACTGGAGGCTGACTCTTTAGGTAATATTCTAGCAAGAGTTATATCCTTGGTAACACTGGTGGACATTCCAAAGTCTATTTGTGTGGTCATCTAAAATCGTAACAATATACAGTAGATTGTAACTTGGAAATAATTGTTGGTTTGTTCATATTCTAAAATATTTATGACAACTAAAATGTGTCTTGTCCTTTTTGTTGTAAACAAATAGTTTTGGACAGGAGTAAGTGTGTAAATTAATAAGTGTGAAACAATTTTGATCAGGGAACTCATTATATTTTTTTATGATAGCCATCTTTCTGGGACCACAGAGTAGTGTTATAGTGAAAGATTCCACTGTATTATTGTTAGGGGTTGGATTTATGTCATGTTTTTTGTTCATAGTATTTCATTATTTCACCTTGATTGAATTTTCTATGTTGTGACCTAGATACTGTGCCATGCAAATAGTTGTTGATTTTTTGGTTAAAATAATGTGTATTATCTTCAAATGAAGCACTTATTCATGTGGAGATTCTCAGATGTTATTTTATGTACATTTATGACAAAAAGAATAAATGTATCTTTATCTTAAATAGCTGTTTTATGGTATTTTGTAACTTGTGTCAATATTTTCTTCACTTATACAATGTCTGGAGTTTGCTTTAATGAAGCCCCATTGAATTACTATAGTAGAGACGCGCCATTGAATATTCTTGGGATTTTTGTAAGTGACAGGAATTATTTGCTTCAAAACACATTATGTTTATGTGAAAGGTGGACCCAAGCAATTTAATTGTGTGGAACAACTCCTAATCTGCAGGATTAGGTTAGAAAAGGTCCCCACCAACCCATGATTGTTATACGGGTTGACATGATAGATCGGGTGGTTAATTCTGGTATCGTACCCAAACAGCAATGAACCTTGCACATATATCAATCACTGGTTTGTCTAATCAAGACTTGATTATTTGCCGGCTGCTGTCATAGCATGAACATGGCAGCATAACACAACAAACCAACAAACCTTGAAACACCCAGATCACATGGTAGCTTACACCTGGCTCAGGGCAGTTGATGAGCTCCTTGTTACGATGTTCAAACACTAACGACTGTGACCAGTTCACGAGTACCTTCGTTGCTATGTTCAAACACTAACGACTGCTGACCAGTTCACGAGTTCCTTCGTTGCTATGTTCAAACACTAACGACTGATGACCAGTTCACGAGTTCCTTCGTTGCTATTGTCAAACACTAACGACCGATGACCAGTTCACGAGTCTCTCCGTTGCTATGTTCAAACACTAACGACTGATGACCAGTTCACGAGTTCCTTCGTTGCTATGTTCAAACACTAACGTATGTGACCAGTTCACGAGTTCCTTCGTTGCTATTTTCAAACACTAACAACTGTTCACAGTTGATGAGTTCCTTCGTTGCTATTACAGACACACACGACTGAAGAGAAGTTCACGAGTTCCTTCTTTGCTGTGTTCAAACACTTAACGACTGATCACCAGCTGAGGACTGCTCTGTTAGATTAAACCGTTCCAAGTCACCAGTCATCAATCATGTGAAAAAATGTCAGATATGAAAACATTTTTAATAACCACCAATGCCTCGTTTCACAATACGATAATAGCACAGAGACGATGTAATTTTACGCCTTACCATAGCCTCTACGTGTAATTTGCTCCTCGACCAATCTGTGCATTGTGATACTTGTGAAGCAGGATTAAGCGTCTTGTCCCAACCTATCACCACCACAGCTCCCTGACAATAGGCCGAGAAGGTCGAGTAATTTCTGTATGTCAACATCACAATACAGTGACGCTGACATTCTTTAAATAAGCCCATGGAAGGTTCACCGGAAGTGCACAGCTTGAGGAACGACATTGACTTTATGGAGCAGTTCAAAATTTCAATGACAGATAAAAAAAACACACCTTATTCCTGAATGTTTTATAACATTTTGGGTGGGTGGGGGATGTTTGGGTGGGAGAGGTGTAATAGATCTTCAAGTTTTCCATCGGACAAAACATAATCGTGGGGGGGAACAGGTTTGACACTTCTAATCGTCCCATAATCGGCATCTCAATTGTGGGTAAATAGTTTTGAAATACATGGTAGTTTTAAAAACCTTATTAAGTGTGTTAGTGTTGGAAAATATGCAATGGTGAAATACTTTGTGTGTATTTCTTTCAGAAGGAATCTTGCTGAGGATATCAACATTATCACTGTTGTTAAGTATTAACGTGGAAGGGGTATGTCCCAAAACGAGAGTGTTTTTTTAACCAGTAACTTTTAAACTGCTACCTAAGGTCGTCCTTGTTAAGTCTCAGGTATGTATGTCATCCTTGTTCAGACTTTGGCGTGATGTCCTCAGGTATGTATGTCATCCTTGTTCAGACTTTGGCGTGATGTCCTCAGGTATGTATGTCATCCTTGTTCAGACTTTGGCGTGAGGCCCTCCGAGTAAAGTTTGTATGTCGTCGAGACACTGTTTCATGGTTGATGCTAAACGTTTTGAGTCGGTCTGTGGACAGCTGAGGTACGAGGAGACCGAAAAGGCTATCCAGGAGGCGTGGGGACTGTAGCACACACCGTACCCATCGGGGACCACAGCTCCGAACCCCAGAACCATGTCGTGCAGCACGGGAACCTGACAAGGAGTATACAAATGGTCAGTCCCTCATTTACAGGTTGTTTCTCCCAACCGAGTTTGTGTGTTAATTGTTTAACGCCAAACCCAGCAATATTCCAGCTATATGACGGCGGTCTGTAAATAATCGAGTCTGGACCAGACAATCGGAGTAAGTGAGTGAGTTAGACTTAACGCTGCGTTTATGAGTATTCAGTGTCAGCTTATCTAGGGAGGAAAGCCCAATGTGTCCAGGTCACAGACTGTTGCCACGTTCAGGCGCGTAGTTGCTTATATGCACAAAAGGCACGTACCTACACTTAGATATTTCTTAGGGAAATATCTTTTTATTTTTATAAATGTTTTTGTAGCTGGGTATCAGTGTACTAGTGAGAATGATCTCCCCTGTGTTTGAGTGAATGAGAGTATGGTTTGACGCCGCTTTCAGCAATATTCCAGCAATATCACGGCAGGGGGACACCAAAAATGAGCTTCACACATTGTACCCATGTGGGGAATCGAACCCGGGTCTTTGGAGTGCAAGCGAACGATTTAACCACTAGGCCGACCGCCCCCACCCTGTGTGTGCACAAAGACATTCCTGTTAGCATTCAACAAGACATGGAATAGTTTGCTGGTTTGAAAAACAGATGCCTTGACTTCATTTGAGATTGAAACAGACTATGGAAGACTGCAGAGTCTTCAGGCGTGACCTTCCCAAGCAGGAAGCTCTTCTATGACTCTCTCCTATCTAGCAAAATAATTGGTTCACAGCTTATCTATAATAATGCATAAGGGTTAATCTGTTTCTTAACATCTGAATTAGCGCGAATGAGACGGGTGCAGAAACAGCAATGGTTGTATTGCAATGATTGAACATGTATATATGATATGTGAACTAATTGCGAACGTTTGTTCAACCCCAAAGAGCACTAAGTTACAAACACGTCAAAACGGTCCATTTGAGCCCAAATGGTACATTCCTGGTGTAATTGAGTCGAATATAGAAAACAGACCAAAATAAAGTTTACCTTACTGCTTACCTCCAAACCTAAAATGTCAGAGTTGGTTGGTTGGTTGGTTTGTTGTTTAACGCCGCACTCAGCAATATCCCAGCTGTATGACGGCGGTCTGTAAATAATCGAGTCTGGACCAGACAATCCAGTGATTGATATCATGAGCATCAATCCACGCATTTGGGATCGATGACACGCATCAACCAAGTCAGCGAGCCTGACCACCCGATCCCGTTAGTCGCCTTTTACGACAAGCATGGGTTAAAATGTCAGAGAGAAATAATACTTCGAGTGATTGCTAACTATTGCTGATTAAAAAGGCAAGGGAAATCTTGAACTTCTACTACAACCCCACTTGTGCATAGGGCCAGGATAATTAGAGTGAATTACAGTACTACCTGACTTGTGGATAGTTTGAAGTAGAAGAACTTGGAGTAACCGACGTCAGAATGGAGTTCAGGTACGCCAAGACCGGCTTCTGCAGCAGCGAGCTTCCAGCCTAGTAAATGACGGTCAATGCCATTGCCACTGATGACCTGTAAAGGAGTCACACTTTCCACTACAACACAAGTACACTCACTACCAACAGAATAGTATTTGTTGACTGAAACCTCACATCTTCGTCGGTTATCCATTGATTATATCTCCATACCAATTTCATTAAAATTAGATCTTAGTGTTCGCCACCGCCACACAGAGGTCAGAGTGAGTGAGTATGGTTTTAAGCCGCTTTTAGCAATATTCCAGCAATATCATGGCGGGGGGAGGGGGCACCAGAAATGGGCTTCACACATTGTACCAATGTCGGGAATCGAACCCGGGTCTTCGGCGTGACTAGCGAACGCTTTAACCAGTAGGATACCCGACCGCCCCCCACCGAGGTCTGAGGACATCCCTTTACAGATCACACCAGAACGACCTTCCCAAATTTTGAACGACCAATGAAATGACTAAGAAGAAGTTGACAATCATTAAGCACTTTTCTCAAGCGTTACGGTACTAGTTTCAAAATGGCGACTGAATGTATCAAGACTAACCTTTTAAAAATATTTTGACAAAGTTCTCAAACTGAACAAAAGAAAATTCCTGAATATCTAACAGATGGCCGAAATACTTCCCACCGGCTATGGAAAGTCTTTCCGTCACAAATGTTTGTCCCATTTAAGCGAGAGGTAGATGACATTACCGGAATTGTCATTAGGAGTACCCCCATGTTAACGTGGCATGAGGTTGCATGATTAGAAAACATATTTTCTGTCTGTCACTTTCCGGATCTGGTAAGCGACGCTCTGATTGGTAGGATGAAAGGTTGTTCTGACCTCGGGAGGACACACATTGAACTTGACAATATAATACAATGTAAATTGTCAAACATGTTATGATAACAGGGTATGTTCCATATCACGCGGATACTAGTAATTTGGATAATATTTATTTTATAAGAAATAAAAATAACTGACACACCGACGCCCGAGAAGTAATTCTTTATTTGCCTGAGTTAATATTACAGACTCCGCACACCAACAAGTACCTACCTGATCGGTGTATTTCCGGTGTGCTACGACAGCCTTCTTGAAGAGCTCCACCTTGACCTCGCGAGAGACGGACCGGTCCTCCATGGCCCGGGTGAAGTTGTGAGAATCCACGGAGCAGGACCTGATGGTGTCTGTCCGCCCCTGCTGGAACCTGCGCAGCGACCCAGACTCGTACGTGGCACAGGGCTCGTCATACAACCTTCACAGAGGACAACACAGTATTAAAGGCTACAGGTCTGGTGGAGGAGAAAGACTGCACATAGTGTGACTGAAGCAGGTCAGCTGTGTATCACCTGAAGTAGGCCAACTGTGTACACACCTGAAGTAGGCCAACTGTGTACTCACCTGAAGTAGGCCAACTGTGTACTCACCTGAAGTAGGCCAATTGTGTACCCACCTGAAGTAGGCCAACTGTGTACTCACCTGAAGTAGGCCAACTGTGAACCCAGAAGTAGGCCAACTGTGTACCCACCTGAAGTAGGCCAACTGTGAACCCACCTGAAGTAGGCCAACTGTGTACCCACCTGAAGTAGGCCAACTGTGTACTCACCTGAAGTAGGCCAACTGTGTACTCACCTGAAGTAGGCCAACTGTGAACCCACCTGAAGTAGGCCAACTGTGTACCCACCTGAAGTAGGCAAACTGTGTACCCACCTGAAGTAGGCCAACTGTGTACCCACCTGAAGTAGGCCAACTGTGTACTCACCTGAAGTAGGCCAACTGTGTACTCACCTGAAGTAGGCCAACTGTGAACCCACCTGAAGTAGGCCAACTGTGTACCCACCTGAAGTAGGCAAACTGTGTACCCACCTGAAGTAGGCCAACTGTGTACCCACCTGAAGTAGGCCAACTGTGTACTCACCTGAAGTAGGCCAACTGTGAACCCACCTGAAGTAGGCCAACTGTGTACCCACCTGAAGTAGGTCAACTGTGTATATATACTCACCTGAAGTAGGCTACTGTGAACTCAGCTGAAGTAGGCCAACTGTGAAATCACCTGAAGTAGGCCAACTGTGTACTCACCTGAAGTAGGCTACTGTGAACCCAGCTGAAGTAGGCCAACTGTGAAATAACCTGAAGTAGGCCAACTGTGTACTCACCTGAAGTAGGCCAACTGTGAACCCACCTGAAGTAGGCCAACTGTGTACCCACCTGAAGTAGGCCAACTGTGTACTCACCTGAAGTAGGCTACTGTGAACCCAGCTGAAGTAGGCCAACTGTGAAATCACCTGAAGTAGGCCAACTGTGTACTCACCTGAAGTAGGCTACTGTGAACCCAGCTGAAGTAGGCCAACTGTGAAATAACCTGAAGTAGGCCAACTGTGTACTCACCTGAAGTAGGCCAACTGAAGGACGACCTGTACATAGCCATCAGGACTGAGTTGGACAGACTTGGGGAAATCCCTGCCGTACCTGTCGTACACCCACACCTGCATGTCTACATCGTTCACCAACCTGAAACAGATGTAGAAATCCCAGTCTTCAGCTAAGTCACTCGGATAACCATAACTGCATCAGTTTGTGGATTGCCTCACTCATGGATTGTCCAAGCGTTCAGTATCTGAGGACCACAAACCACCTCATCTTTGGTTTAGGAAGGGTTCTGCTTTAATGACATCTAATGACCCCACTAATGACTCATACATTCGGACGCTTTATAGGAGATCGGGTGTACTAAAAGTAAAAATGCACTGCAATTAAAACACTTTGAGCCGCTTCTAGGCTCGATTGTAACAAGTATTTGCAAACATTATAATACTCCGTTTCATCTCTGGTTAGATTTTACAAAATGGTAAGACCTCCGCCCGTATCCCCCTCCAAACGTTGTATATGTATGCATAGCCGCTCAATCCTTTTATTTATATATACTTTTGAGGGGGGATACGAGCGGAAGTCTTACCTGAAATAATTATTGTTTTTTTTCAATTAACCGATCATGCACTTATTGTACATTCGCATCTGAATTATTGTCTTTCACATTGTTGAAAGTTATAGCTGCGTGTTGCAGGGGCGAAACTGACACGGCAACGGCCGAGTCCACTTCTGTTTAGTGGAGACAACTCAAATATTGATTTTGCTCTATATGACACATTTTCGCAATCTCTTTCGACATATTTGATAATTGGTATCGGTATCGGTTTCTAAGATAGATAATCGGAAATGCGGGTGATTGTAACCCTCGTCAAGAGAGTGAGTGCGTATTTTTTACTAAACCCCGCATCAGCAATCTTGCAGCTTTTCGCGGCGCCTCGTCAAGAGAACATTTAAGAGTCTCGCCTTCTCCAGTCTCACTTTCTCTCAAGTCGTTGGTTTCAAAATCACGATCAAAACTTCGGAGTCATGTTTGATCTCACTAACCTTGCTTACTATCGATCCGTGAACCTTTGACCTTGTTCAACACCTCACCTTATCAAACCCCCGTCTGCAACCCACCACCCAGACGTAACCATTTCTGTAAAACATGGTATTAAAGACACAACTGTTATTATTACCTATCTGCTTCAACTTTACTTTCAGCAATATTTCTCAGGATATCGCCAGACAGTTCAGTTAGTAGTTTCCTAGGCGCGGTCATCGCGCCGCTCGCCCTCAGACCTGGAGCTTGGTGCTTCTCACTGTGAAACAATAAATACTGCATGTGATGTTGGTTGGAGCCAGGGCACGAACCCAGATATGTGTGTTGACTACAAGTGTACATAATGGGCGGGAACAACAAGAACGTCGTCAGCTGTATCCATTGTCACAGCTTGGCTTTAGCATGGGAACAGTTGTTTTTTTCTACAGGCACTCATGACTAATGAGTTCAATATCACATATGTAGACAAATCAGGAGTATTGAGTCATTGTGCTTATCCTGAGTTTCTACACTATGCTATAAACGCACCCTGACTGTCCCAGTAGATGTCGAATGTATCCCACATATATCCTATGAAGAACACCTCTGACAACACTAATACCACTCATATGTGTGTCCAGTTTAATTATCATTATAAAGATAATAATACACCGAATAATCGAGAATGTCTGAGGTGAAATATAGTTAAACGTCATGCTCAAGATTATTTCACTTAAATAGCAATTATATGCATGTATGTGTGGCAACTTGTACTGGTCGGAACTAATGCCAGTTTTATGATGCTAGCCCACTGAGTTTTACCAACTCTTATTTTATCCTTACAATATGGCCGAAATACTACAAGTGAATGGAAACAGCAGGTATACTCCCTGGAAGTAGTGTGTGACATATTACCTGTCTACAACTACACTCTGGAGTGCACCAACTTTGCCTTTATAAAGACTACTCTCGGTAATATAAATGGGTTATGTCCTTGTGGGAATCTGTCCACATAACATTATAAATACATGCCACGATATGGCTTGTCCAGCTTACTGACCAGAATGCTAGAACGTGCTGGGCAATGGCAGCTATCGGAGGTCCATCAGCAGGCGTGTGTTCCAGATTCAAACCACAAACTCCTTTCACGCCAATGATGAACTGAAGATAAAAAAAATAGTTGCTTTTATCAGTAAAGAACTGTCACAAATAGACACATAGAACTGGCTCATGTACCCAAGTACAGTTCATTTGAATAGCATATTATTTATATGTGCTTACATATTTATGTCATAGTAAAACAGAAGATCTTTTGAGAGACAAAACCGTGAACTCCACTTTGTGCACCTTAAGGAACTAAACCGTTATACCATACATCGTTGTATTGTCCGTTTACTTCACAGAGAAGTGTTTTAAACAGTGAGATGCAGGTACCAGACATGTAACAAAGATCAACCTGGCAAAAATCATACAACCTGGCACGAATGATATCTGCTGTCGCATTTTGAATGCGACATTTGAAGAAGCGAACCTGCAGGATCTTGTCAAAGAACCGGTTGGCAGAGTTCCAGGAACTCCCCCCTCCATGTAACATCTGGGCGAGACCGAGGCTCCGGGCGTGGTCACTCCCTGCCGGCGGCTGACCCTCACCGTCCACACACAACACACATATGCTCCTCTGTATGTCCTCCATTGCCGACCTGTTAGCCTGGTCTGTAAACATACGGACGCCTTTTAACGGCAATACTGGTGTTGCATATAATATATCATACTGACGCGCTTATATGGCAAACACGGGTTTAAGTAGTGTTTCTAAATGGTGATCATAGTTTTGCTGGTTTGTTTATTGTTTAACGCCGCAATACCCCAGCTATATGACGGCGGTCTGTAAATAATCGATTCTAGACCAGACAGTCCAGTGATTAATATCATGAGCATCGATCCACGCAATTGGGATCGATAACATGCATCAGCAAAGTCACCGAGTCTGACCACACGATCCCGTTAGTCGCATCTTACGACAAGCATAGTAGTCGCCTCTTACGGTAAGCATGGGTTGCTGAAGACCTATTCTACCCCGGATCTTCACAGGTCGGTGATCATAGTACATACAAACGTCTTTAAATGGTACCGAATTCGTTTCCCAAGTTTAAAAAGCCAATTAATGAGGATCGGTTGATTTCAAAATGTGACCAGCGGTCGTTCTCATAAAGCGATCTTTGCTACGAATTTTGAAACTTTAACACAGACCTACACATCGTTGCGCTACTATCGATGTACAAGTGGACTCTGATTGATAACGTGTCACCGAATGACAACAATGCTAACTGAGACACAAAACTCCCTTGAACGGTGAACACCCTGAAGGGTTCCTATCTTCTGACGACACCCTACATTAGCTGTAAGGATGGCGGCGTAGGATGGTGAGTAAATGTTGGTCAGTCGCCTGTGTTTACAGAGTAGACAACGATAACCTCACGAACTATCCCATTGTTCCCAACAGTCGATGCCCTACTGGCTGCGACGATTGAGGACTCAAGTTATGGAGTAACTGAAAGCTTTTCTGCAAAACAGTTTCAAAATGTTACGTAAACTCCTTTGATTTAAAACTAATAAGAACGAATGTTTTGAGTTAATTACAGCAGTTCTTGTGACGTTGTGCATCAGTTGAGGCTTACCGCTGATGATGGTGCTGTAGTTTCTGGCCCAGCTGGCCCTGTCCCTCGTGGTGAGGATGCCGATGGAGGGGACGGGCTTAGGGGACATCTCCACAATGGTCTCCAGCTGCTGGTAAAGTTGCACAGTGTCGAGAGGCCGGCTGTCCTCCCCATACACGTCCAGAGAGAAGACCTGTAGCAATGACTTTAATGATGCTCAGCGTTTGCTTGGCATCATGTCACACAGTCATGCATGTAGTTAGATATGTTGCAGAGCTGACAAACGCTATCAGACTTTTAACATGAATTCGGCTTCCATGAGAGGATCCCTACATGAATGGGCGTTTTCTTTGTCAGGTTATACATTCGGTCTTGGTCCATTTTGCAAGACATAAATCATTGGCATACCGCCAATTTCATAGTGGGAGTTAAAAACATGTTGTACCTTTCACAGTAATTTCGAGATGAAAAAAGAAAGACGGGCAAATAGTAATGCTTTCATGGATGTGTATTGTGTCTGTGTCAACCTACTTGGTTATTGTGAAGCACCGTGATGTGTCTTGGTGGGTTGGGTCCCGTTGTTGGATGTAGCACGTGGTTATCCAACTCCACCCCGGGAATACGACAGCCAGAAAGCATCTGAGAGTGTTGTGACATGCATAGCCTCTGGCCGCCCATCATGTCCACGGTTAGCGTCTGCCTACACAGTTGCGAGGGCGAAGCAAAGTTACAAAATGGCGGAGATACCATATTATGAAAGCAGAAGAATTCCGCTTCTTGAATGTATGTTTCAGAGTACAGGTCGGTAGGCTAGACTCATTTTTTAATTGTGCGGTAACTTTGCGCCTTAAGGAAGGCCAAGAATAGGTACTTAGTGCGCTAGGACTTACCTGTCTAAAAAACTGTGTCGTCAAGTGAAGGCATCGAGGCCGCTACGCCTTACCCATCTATAACACTGTGGTCAAGTGAAGGCATCAATGTCGCTAGGAATTACCCATCTATAACACTGTGGTCAAGTGAAGGCACCAATGTCGCTAGGAATTACCCATCTATAACACTGTGTGGTCAAATGAAGGCATCAAGGTCGCTAGGTCTTACCCATCTATAACACTGTGTTGTCAGGTGAAGGCAACAAGGTCGCTAGGTCTTACCCATCTATAACACTGTGGTAAAATGAAGGCATCAAGGTCGCTAGGTCTTACCCATCTATAACACTCTGTGGTCAAGTGAAGGCAACAAGGTCGCTAGGTCTTATCCGTCTATAACACTGGTCAAATGAAGGCAACAAGGTCGCTAGGTCTTATCCGTCTATAACACTGTGTGGTCAGGTGAAGGCACCAATGTCGCTAGGAATTACCCGTCTATAACACTCTGTGGTCAAGTGAAGGCAACAAGGTCGCTAGGTCTTATCCGTCTATAACACTGTGTGGTCAGGTGAAGGCAACAAGGTCGCTAGGTCTTACCCATCTATCATAGCTTTATAGTCCAGTACTGCAGCAACTACCTTGGCAGCGAATCTGAAAGCGATATGGAACACTCACAAGAAATTGATTACTGGCAACTACCTTATTACCATACTATAAGCTAACTTACTGAATCTACATTGATTGACTAGGGACATCGAGTACCTCGCCATTTTAACACAATAAAGAAATGGTGTAACAAGACCTGTTTACAAATAGCTAAACACGTTTACACAGCTGGCGTTAAAGATCGTTACCATGTTTCTCATCTCTATTTTGTCATAAAATGTATTTTTCATACTTCCAAAGACAGCACAAGAAACAGTAAACTGATAAAGAGTAAACTGATAAAGAGTAAACTGTTTTGTCATCGTTTTTTAATTGTAATTCTTAAGGCGGAATGATCAAACCTCAATTGGCCTTCCTTGTCAGTATAGTCCTGTTTCGGGAAGAGAACGGCTCCATTAGAGTAGACGACAACTGGAGTTCGGGGCTTGAGGTAAGCTACCTCCCTCCACCAGTCAGACAACTTGCGAGAAAACAGAGTGCATGCAAACTTAATTTTAAAACATTTAGTTGCTATTCCTTCAAACTGCCCAATGTTATCGCAAGATCAATAGCGAAAGACGTAAAAACAAAAACAGCTTAATGTTTTGTGCATTTGGGGCAAAAGGAAAATCGGAAAGTACCATTCATAAATTTGAATATGGTTTTCCTTATGTCAAGAAAGACTCGCTACATCCTCGATTATTCAGTGTTTGTTTGTTTGTTGTTTAACGCCACACTCAGCAGTATTCCAGCTATATGACGGCGGTCTGTAAATAATCGAATCTTTAATCTTTAATCGAATCGTCTTTCGAGTTAAAGTTAATTATGCATTTCCATTGTGTTTTAGTACAATACACTGGATTAAAGGGGATGGTCTCGCCTTCATTTCGAGTATGCCCTCGGGCCCTGCTTCACCTTGTTCACGCAAACAGTTAACCTTGTTGGTATCTACCACCTAGTTCACGCACCAAGTTAACCTTGTTGACATCCCACACCTAGTTCACGCACACAGTTAACGGTGTTGACATCCCACACCTAGTTCACGCACACAGTTAACGGTGTTGACATCCCACAAGAAGTTCACGCACACAGTTAACGGTGTTGACATCCCGCACCTAGTTCACGCACACAGTTAACGGTGTCGACATACCACACCTAGTTCACGCACACAGTTAACGGTATTGACACCCCACACCTAGTTCACGCACACAGTTAACGGTGTTGACACCCCACACCTAGTTCACGCACACAGTTAACGGTATTGACACCCCACACCTAGTTCACGCACACAGTTAACGGTGTCGACATACCACACCTAGTTCACGCACACAGTTAACGGTATTGACACCCCACACCTAGTTCACGCACACAGTTAACGGTATTGACACCCCACACCTAGTTCACGCACCAAGTTAACGGTGTTGACATCCCGCACCTAGTTCACGCACACAGTTAACGGTGTTGACATCCCACACGAAGTTCACGCACCAAGTTAACGGTGTTGACAACCATACCTAGTTCACGCACACAGTTAACGGTGTTGACATCCCACGCCTAGTTCACGCACACAGTTAACGGTGTTGACACCCCATACCTAGTTCACGCACACAGTTAACGGTGTTGACATCCCACGCCTAGTTCACGCGCACAGTTAACGGTGTTGACATCCCACGCCTAGTTCACGCACACAGTTAACGGTGTTGACATCCCACGCCTAGTTCACGCACACAGTTAACGGTGTTGACATCCCATACCTAGTTCACGCACACAGTTAACGGTGTTGACATCCCACACCTAGTTCACGCACACAGTTAACGGTGTTGACATCCCACGCCTAGTTCACGCACACAGTTAACGGTGTTGACATCCCACACCTAGTTCACGCACACAGTTAACGGTGTTGACATCCCACGCCCAGTTCACGCACACAGTTAACGGTGTTGACATCCCACACCTAGTTCACGCACACAGTTAACGGTGTTGACATCCCACGCCTAGTTCACGCACACAGTTAACGGTGTTGACATCCCACGCCTAGTTCACGCACACAGTTAACGGTGTTGACATCCCACGCCTAGTTCACGCACACAGTTAACGGTGTTGACATCCCGCACTTAGTTCACGCACACAGTTAACGGTGTTGACATCCCACGCCTAGTTCACGCACACAGTTAACGGTGTTGACATCCCACACCTAGTTCACGCACACAGTTAACGGTGTTGACATCCCACGCCTAGTTCACGCACACAGTTAACGGTGTTGACATCCCACACCTAGTTCACGCACACAGTTAACGGTGTTGACATCCCACGCCCAGTTCACGCACACAGTTAACGGTGTTGACATCCCACACCTAGTTCACGCACACAGTTAACGGTATTGACACCCCACACCTAGTTCACGCACACAGTTAACGGTGTTGACATACCACACCTAGTTCACGCACCAAGTTAACGGTGTTGACATCCCGCACCTAGTTCACGCACACAGTTAACGGTGTTGACATCCCACACGAAGTTCACGCACACAGTTAACGGTGTTGACACCCCATACCTAGTTCACGCACAGTTAACGGTGTTGACATCCCACGCCTAGTTCACGCACACAGTTAACGGTGTTGACACCCCATACCTAGTTCACGCACACAGTTAACGGTGTTGACATCCCACGCCCAGTTCACGCACACAGTTAACGGTGTTGACATCCCACACCTAGTTCACGCACACAGTTAACGGTGTTGACATCCCACGCCTAGTTCACGCACACAGTTAACGGTGTTGACATCCCACGCCTAGTTCACGCACACAGTTAACGGTGTTGACATCCCGCACCTAGTTCACGCACACAGTTAACGGTGTTGACATCCCACGCCTAGTTCACGCACACAGTTAACGGTGTTGACATCCCTCGCCTAGTTCACGCACACAGTTAACGGTGTTGACATCCCACGCCTAGTTCACGCACACAGTTAACGGTGTTGACATCCCTCGCCTAGTTCACGCACACAGTTAACGGTGTTGACATCCCTCGCCTAGTTCACGCACACAGTTAACGGTGTCGACATCCCACGCCTAGTTCACGCACCCAGTTAACGGTGTTGACACCCCATACCTAGTTCACGCACACAGTTAACGGTGTTGACATCCCACATCTATTTCATGCACACAGTTAACCCTGCTGACACCCCACACCTAGTTCACGCACCCAGTTAACGGTGTTGGCAGCTCTCCCTTCCAGCATCAGCTGCAGCCGAGGGCCGGGGGACTGCTTGAACCTCTGCACAAGCTGACGATGAGAGAAACCTCTTAGATCTACCGACATATGCACCGGCGGTTTCATGAAGACTAGAGTTGTCAGACAAATAGAGTGAGTGACTTGGTTTTAAAGCCGCTTTGAACACTGCTCCAGTTATATCACGGCATTGTAGGCTTACGGGGGAGAAAAGCCCGAAGTCATGCAGGTCTCCTCCACTTGGGTGAAACCCATGAGCACGGGTATGGTGCTGACAAACCTAGAAACATAATCGGAGTGAACCGGGGTTCGAGCCAACGATCATAGGTTCCTAGCGTGCCCAAGGGATGCAACTCCACCTAAGACAACGTGGCGACCCGTGCCTCCAAATAAATAGAGACTGACCCTCCATTGTTGTCAGTCAATTTGTGAAAATGTATTTTCTACGATACAACTTGGTAAGGTCGAATAGTGTTATCATGTTGCTTTCCAGATGAAGGATATCTCCTGTATAAAGAAAACACATTTATGGGCATTTATTTCTATAAAAATACCATCCCACAACAAACAAATGAAAATCTTTTCGAAAGAGAACTTGTTCCGAGAATACTCTATGTCCTTTGACCCTTGATTAGCGCAGAAGTTTACCTCCAGTGTGTGGCTATATTCAGCATCACTGAGCAGCGGGCGGACTGCACGCAGGTACGTCTGCAGGGTTTGTTCAATGGTGGGTACGGGGAGTCTTGGCAGCGTTTCCTGTATTCCCCTCATCGTCCCCTGTGGTGTCGTATCGACCTGTAGCTGGGGTGGCGTCCGCCCAGGCTTGTAACTGTGTGGTAAAAGGTGAGATGGTTCAAGCTAGCAAAATGGTTCAAGTCCCATTGGTTCATTGTGTTACGACGATTGCAGTTCTGTGATACACTGGAAACTCGGCTTACCCAATGGCGTGGCCATTAGCTGTGCATGATGCGCAAACAAGGTTTCAATTTAATCAATTGAACGGTAATTTAGTTCTGATGAGTGAGTGCGTTATGGTGTATGCCACAATCACCAATATTACAGCTATACATCGACGGCCTCTTAATGATTGAAGCAAACGGGTGGTTTATACCATGAGCAAACATCAACGATGTACCAGTGAAGACCGGGGTTAGGATACTTGCCGTAAAAGGCGACTATGCTTGTCGTAAAAGGCGACTATGCTTGTAAGAGGCGACTAACGGGATCGGATGGTCAGACTCGCTGACTTGGTTGATGCATGTCATCGTATCCAATTCTACCCAATTGCTCGGATCGATGCTCATGATGTCAATCACTTGCTTGTCTGGTCCAGACTCGATTATTTACAGACCGCCGTCATATAGCAGGAATAATGCTGAGTGCGGCGTTAAACGCCAACCAACCAATCAAACATCCACGATGACCACAATGAGTCGGATCACACACTGTAACCCTCCGGTCCTCATCCTTCATGTCACCTATGGTGTATCTGCATTTTAGAGGACATACCGGTCGTGTTGCCTCCAGACGTGTTAGCTTTCTGTGCAGAACGTTTCTAACGCCACGACATACAGTTCTACACAGAACCTTTCTAACGTGTAAATGTACTCACGTACGGAGCAGAGATAACTTAAACGACAGGTGGGTGGATATCAATGTTTATCTTACCATAGAACTGCTTCGCAAATTCAGTGGTGAAGCACCTTGTCATGAATTCGCATAAACCCTCTCCTCGCGGTTTGAACATGCGGCCTGCCTCGTCCATTATCGAGAACACACAAAGGATTGCTGACATTTCCATCGCTTGCACGTGTGCTTCATGCGTTGATCACGAGACTGCACTGAATCCGTGCAATACTCAGTGAGTGTCATGACACGTGGTCAGATGTCCAAGAATGAAGACAGCTGTAAATTCCTTTGTGAAGCATTTAAAACCATATAAATGCACTTGTTTAGGTTTATTTTTCAGGTAGGCATGGTTTAATTCCTTTGGCTTGAATATGCACTGTATTTCATTATTGAAATAAACAGAGGGTATATTCTAAGACTTGATTGGTTGGTTGGTTGGTTTGTTGTTTAACGCCGCACTCAGCAATATTCCAGCTATATGACGGCGGTCTGTATATAATCGAGTCTGGACCAGACAATCCAGTGATTAATATCATGAGCATCGATCAACGCAATTTGGATCGCTGACATGCATCAACCAAGTCAGCGAGCCTGACCACCCGATCCCGTTAGTCGCCTTTTACGACAAGCAGTCGGCCGTTACTATGGGGAGGTGAGGTGAAATGGGGTTTAACGTCGTAGTCCAAGGGAGGGGGACGCAAATAAGATTATTAATTACTTATTCAAGGTAACGTGTGTTTGTCGTCAGCCTAGTGAGATACTATGCCGTAGTTTAACATGAATATACTAGTCAGACACAGTATACTGACTCCGACCAGTCCTTAGCCCCTTTATGTCGAGCGTCAGGCAAAACAATGAGTGCAGTCTTTTAATATCTTTTGGTATGACGCGGCCGGGGATCGAACCCCGAACTTTCCGCTCTCCGGGCGGACTTGGCCACAGAGGACATCCCAACCATTAGATATTCTGGGGGTTGCCTGGGATTTTGTACCGAGAATAGACATTTTTCAGCTACAGCTATGCGATCAATAGTGCTCGATGTGGTCCTATATCAAGTGCATACCTGCCCCGTGACATGGATGTCAAAATCCAAATAGCCAGAGTGAGGTACACGTGAGAAAGGCACGGGGAACGCTTTTCACATTCATCACGTTTGAAACTAGATCCATATAGCTACAGAAAAGGTCTTTCTGATTGGCTAATGTAGACTTCATGTTAGTCATTTCATTTGTCGATCAAAGTTCGCAAAAGGTCGTTCTGACGTTAGTCCAAAATTATTATTCAAACTATTTTCACATTCTTCATACATTCCTTCTTCATATCCTTCTAATAGCCTTTGCACCTTTTATAAACACTGTCACACATTGCAATCGAATTCCGATCTATTTACTGATCGAAAACCGGTTAAGAACTGAGTAAAGTCGTCGAGCAAAAGCATCTTTCCGGGGAAAGGGCGAAACGGACTCTAAAAGTATAGTTTCCACCCTTGCTGAACTAGGCTGGAATTCCGGAATTACATGTTGGCTGGACTAACGAGTCTATGCATAGCCGAATCAATCCGGTTCGTAAACAACATGGATTTCAAAGTGTAGATTTCGGTTGACTGTAGCATCTCCAAAGCATGTGTGTTATCAACTATGGCCTTGCAAAGGCCTTGCGCTGTCCATTGCTGCACTAAAAGGACTGTCGGATATGCTAGAAAAATGCTTTTCGCCCGTTAAACCAAGATATAATATTTCAGAGACTGTGAAAGTACCGATCTACCTACCTGTGGTTTGAAGTATTTCAAACACAAGGAGTCCTTACGGAGGAAATGTCTCTCGTTAGTTACCAGAACTATTCACTCGTTTCATAAAGTTGGTATTACACGGGAGCTCGATGGTTGTTACTGTCCCGATACAAGATAACTTTCATCCAGAGGATCAACACGGCGCCAAGACATTTTGTAGCATACATACCTGTTGACTCAAGTAGCGTTACAGTCATTAAGCGCACATATGTAATCCAGAGGGTGAAACAAATTGTAATTTGTAATGTGGTACTTTCAGAAGCAGGAAAAAAGAACATGACACATTTGAGTTTAAATACATATCTAATATAAAAATAGAAAAACATACAAACATATCATCAAAACAAGTACTAGTAATATGATTCACAACAATAACATTTGGTATTGCTTTCAAGGACATGCGATATTAAGTTGACACAATCCTAGTGGTATATATTATAAATGAAATGACATAAAAACTCTTCTGCTGGCGCATCACACGTCAGCAGCATATGTTGCAGTGTCTAGAATTGAACGAACACCGATACCAGGGACACAATGACTGGACAGAATGGCATACAAAGTGTTTTGTGAATATCCATTGGTAAAGATATTAATATTTGTTCATAATTTATCTTTTCTAAGTAATTGTTACATTGTTGTAATATTATTTTATAATGATCTAGATCAGTGGAAACTTGCAGAGATTGTAAAAATTGAAAGCCACAACGTTATGAGTGCGTAGTTTTTATATCACCATGAATCCTACTTCTCTATGAGAGTTACCTCCCTGAAACTTACCGTATTGTATGTGTACTCGTGTATCCTGACACGTCAGTTATTTACGCTGTACAAAAGTGCTCATACCTCGCTCCACAAAAACTCGGTCAACGTTTCCCGCCTGTCCCCATGACTAAGTTGTTGTTCCTTTGATAATTGTGCCCGAATAACACAAACAGGTTTCATGTAATAATCTACAGTTAGGAATGTTTTACAAAATATTTTCATAATGATTTATGCATTTCATATGTACACATATCATTATGCATGTCCGTTTTAAGATTTTGCCCGAATAACACAAACATGTTTAGTTTAATAATGTACAGCTGGTAAGGTTTTACAAATATTTTCACAATTACTTATGTATTTCATATGTACACATATCATTATGCATATGCGAGATAAAGATAAGGTTTCTTTTGAAACATCCACCTCATCTAAATTCGCTTGGTGTTTTATGTCATTAATTATGATGTGAAAGGACATTAATTTATAACGAAAATCATGTTCGTTACTATATTGATAAACATTATAGTTAGAATTTTCAACAAGGTTTGAAGAGTAGTCTCCCTTCGATCCCCAACGTCAACGATGGTAAAGGCCAGGTTTTCATTTAATGTACAATATATACTGAACCGCAAAAGAAACGTCGCGATGGATAGATATATGAGAAACCTTACTTGTCCAAACACTGTAAACATAGTTTGAGACATATTAAGAAGATGAAACATGGCAAAACTGATCATCAAGGTTGAAATTAAAGTGTCAAATGTTCTCAAAGTGAAACACAACACTAGTCTCTGAGAAAATGGCATCACAATGCAGTGTCTCGTGTGTCCATGGAATGGATGAGGTGGTTGATAAAGGCCATAGGCACTTGAGCCCACACTCTGAGGAACGCCTGACGCAGTTCAGCTGCAGTTGTCGGCCTTGGTCGGACACCATTCAGCCGTCTTTGAATCTCGTCCCACAGGTGCTCAATGGGATTTAAATCGGGACTGAGGGAAGGCCACTGCATGGTTCTCATGTCATTCTGCTGGGGGAAGTCTCGTGTTGCTCTCGCAGTGTGTGCACGGGCGTTATCATGCTGAAACTGGTTGCGATGTGCCAAATGATGTATGGCGTGTGGACTCAAGACTTGATCAATGTACAGTGCTGCTGTGACACCATTGTCTCTCCCTGGGCCGATGTTCCGGAAGACCACAGGGCCGACCCTCTGTGCAATTCCACCCCACACCATGATGCTCGGACTACCCAACGAGTCTCTCTCAACAACACAAGCCTCCGAATAACGTTCCCCACGGCGTCGCCAGACTCTCTCTCTGCTATCTGCTGTTGAGATACAGTAACGGCTCTCGTCTGAGAAGAGGACTCTCCTCCACTGCTGGTAGCGCCAATGCTGGTGCTGTGTTGCCCACTGAAGACGGTCTCGGCGATGACGTCCTCGGAATGGGTCCTCGGTGTGGCCTGTGACAGTGGAGGTGTCTGCTCGTCAATCGTCAACGCACGGTGTCCGCACTAATGTGTCGCTGGTGTGTCCCCATGGTCTGTCGAGCAGTTTCCGCAACAGTAACAAAGTGATCTTGAAGATACTGTCGCACAAACTGACGACCCTTGGTCTTCCACTACGTGGTCGGTCATCTGTAGTGTTGGTGATCTGGTACCGTTGCTGGAGCCTGTATATGGTCCTCACGTTGACTTGAAATGCAATGGCTACTTGCCGGGCAGTTTGTCCAGCTTGCAATCGTCCAAGGGCTTGGTGTCGGCTGATTTCTTGTCAATCTTGGCATGTGTTAGCAATTAAATAACGAATTAATGTTATCCGATCTGGGTGGATATTTATGCATTGGGTTACCATGGCCGTTGCAGTGATGCGTTTGGGCGATCGGTTTTATTGTCATCTGCTTTGTTTTTTTAATCAAATTTCATTTTTTCCGGTCAAGGTAATGTTAAATTTTAGAAACTTTGACAAAAAATACCCAGATATTTTAATGACAACTTTTCATGCAATGTTACTTGGGGTGACGTTTTTTTTGCGGTTCAGTATATATACTAGCAAGTGTAAATCTTTTGGCATAATATACTGATCAACAAAGGTTCCTGTGACAATGAATAGTGAGTGAGTTGGGTTTAACGCCGCTTTTAACAATATTCCAGTTATATCGCGGCGTGTCAGCTTAATGTGGGAGGAAAACCCGAAGTGATGCAGGTCTCCTCCACTTCGGTGAAAACCATGAGCACGGGTATGGTGCTGGCAAACCTAGAAACATAATCGGAGCGAACCGGGATTCGAACCCATAATCATAGGTTTCTGGCGTGCCCAAGGGACGCAACTCTGCACAGCGAATCGGGGCGCCTTAGACGACTGGGCCACCCGTGCCCCCATGACATTGAATAAGATTTAATGCAAAGTTATGTTTTTACCAAATCTGAAACAATTTCGGTTTGCAACAGATAAAAGACTCCTATAAGTGTTCAAATGGTTTTATTTGCCATGTTCACTTCAGAAAATGCGTGATTTCATAAAAAAAAACATGAACATGCCAAAAAGTCAATTTACAAATCAATAGCGTGTGTGTCCACCTCTGGTTGCGAT